ATCAGAGGCCTCTACGTAGCCCAAAGGGTTTCTCTCTAAACCGCTGATTTCACCTTTTCCTTGGTTGAACGTTGAAGAAAAAAAATCAGAAGTCCTGCATCGTGATACGAGCAGGCTCACTAAGGGAAATGAAAGTTGTGAGGAGATTTCGTAAACAGAGAGGTTACCGGTTTATTAATCAACATGTATTGATACTATTTCGCTTTCTTCTTGGCTACAAGGGAGTAGCGGTCTTTGTTGTTCCCAGTGAAACGATAAAAGGTGAAGCTGTTAGAGCTGCTCATTCTGAATGCGCCATGCATTCCACTTCCATTCAGAGTTGTAGTTGCATTACCATAGCGGGTTTTCCCACGCAACTACACCAGAGCTAGATGACGTGCACGCCAGCTCTTCTGCATGCCAGCAAGGAAAGCCGACTTCTAGTGATATAGTAATATCCCTTTTTATCTCCGTGATACGTTCATGCTGGTTTACCAATTCTAAGAAAATCCCTTCTGATTATGAAGAAATTCCTTCCTCTCTTTTTCATCAGATGGAAGTTCTTCCCATAAGAGAATACCTGGCCGGTAGTGCTGTCCCTGATCTTCTCGTGAGCGCTTAGCCGATTAATGCATTCAACGTTTCTCCGTGCCTGTCATCTTTGAGACAGTGAGGAAAAGACTCCACGGCGACTGGATAGATGGCCTTGATTTAACACCAATACCACGAACACAACCCAGAAGCGTCGAGACAGCGCGGCGGCCAGTGGTAATGCGATTATTGATGAGTTGTCATCAATGGCCATTTCGATCAATCATAATTGTGACTAAATGATTCAGTTCGCACTATCTGGTTTCATCTCTGTCACAAGATGCGAAGCATTAAGGAAGAAATAGATGTTCTGTGTTAGTTAGGTCATTCGGAATGCGCCGTATATTCACCTTCCACTAGGCATTGGACAAGCATTCAGAAACAGGGTACAGCATCGTGAAGTATGAAATGGTGGTGCCAGTACACACCCTCCTCTCTCTCGAGGGTCTTGGTACGAAACCTCCCCCCCCCACCTAGTAGAGGGTCTCGGTACGACCCCCCCCTTCCCAGCACCTACCTACCAATTTCCCACATTTTCCAGTTTTTCACCCAAAGATTTTCCGTCGAGCGGGAGGGAGGGGGGAAGTGGGTATACAACCAATATAACGGAAAAGTTTATTACTTCCTACCACTTTTTCCGGAATTTCCCTGAAAAGTTTCCTACTTTTCCTCAAGGATTTCGCTGTCGAGCGAGACGGAAAGAGGGAAGGGGGCACAAAAATTTTCCCCAACGCGGCAAATTTCTCTCAGAGCTACATGACCCTCCCCCTCCCCATCCGAAAAGTACGACCCCCTGTGGTGCTTCACACAACGATGCTGTACCGTGTTCGGAAAAGTGCTGCCCCCTTACGCATTCAATCGTGGATCGTAGTAGCCCCAACCCGCTTCTTGCACATTTTTGTGTTAATGGTGCGAACGGATTGATAAACGTGTGGTAGACAGATTCGGAGCCCCGAATTCAAAAGAGCGACACTTCTAATCGCTAGGCTACCCAAGCTCCATGATGTTCGAAAGTCTCTGCAGGGTATACGCTACCTTTCGAGACCGCAAGTGCCTCAATTGCAGTGATAGCGTCGCGATCAGTCGGGAAGATTCCAAAGGAGTGAGCCTATTCGCGGCGCTTCTGCCACTGGGTTGTTTTTTTCTAAGTCGATCATGAGCAGTCATCATTGGTCGAGCAAGGCAACAGAAGGAGGGCTTCTTCCGC